ACACACACACACACACACGTGCACATGCTCACGCACACACACTAGTAATGGAGTAGAATTTGACCCCAGCCTGCTACCTAGGGTTGAGACTTCCGTTTGAGCCCCAGCCCCTCTCCAGGGGTTGCTCTACCCTGAGCAAACCCAGGCCATTCCTTAGGGTGTTGAGAAAGCAAGGAAGGGGCTGGCCATTAGAGTCTTGAGAAAGCCATTGGAGAAGAAAACACAACTCTCCCACGTGGTGACAACAAGATTTTCAGCTTCCTATTTTATGAGATGTCTCAGCTACAAGGAAAAACACAACAGGCCTTAGCTGAGTCTCATTCAGAGTAGAATTAACAGGCCTCCTATGTAATTTTCTTCCAGGGCCTTACAGGCTCCAGTGATGCCTCGGCTTCTCTGATTCCAGCTTTTTTTTTTTTTTTTTTTTTGCCAAAGCCCTGTGGAGCAGAGGCCTCCCAGGCCCCAGAGGGAGATGACCTCAGCCTCGGCTTTCTCTTCTGAGAGGCTGCTCCTTCTGTCTCTGAGCTGTGGCCCTCTGCACTGGGCTCTGATGGGGAAGGTGCACTTTTAAGGCTCCAGGTATTTTTAATCGCTGTGTGTTTATGGGACCTGGAACAGGGCACGCAGCTCTGTGGTGAATTTTTTTCTTTTCCTGCACCATCTGTTGGGCAGGGGTTCCAGGTTGTATATATTTATGGAAGAGCCTAGTGGATTCGGAGAGGACAGTGACACACTGACCTTCCCTGGGGGCCCAGAGGCTTTTCCTTTCTGCTCCTCCCAGACTGTTGCCCTGTACCCAGGACACCTTCTGCGGGGATCACTGAGCTGTGCAAAGAAGAGAGGACGTGGCGGCAGAGCCTCTCAAGCACTGGCTTCTAACCTGGAGGGGTCACCCCACTCCTGCAAGTATGCCCAAAATGTCTCTTGTGGCACATCTATGCCTTCTTCAACCTGGGAAACTGCTAAGCCCGGGGCTACAGAAGGAGGGAACTGAGAGACAGAGGTGCCACCACAGCCCCTGCCATGTGGGATCACCCAGCAAATACCCATCAAGTAAACAATAACTCCTGGCTGATGTGGATGGCCTGTGGCTGACTCTGTGTGTGTGTTTTTCTTTTCCTTCCAGCCCCAGCTACAGCCCAGTGGCCCCCAGAGAAATGTCAGGGAGCAGCTGTGTGGGCCTTAGAAGCTGGGCTGCACATGACTGACCTCCTCCCGCCCCAGGCCTGCGGGGTGCTTTTGCAGGGTGCTTACCAGTCTGGGCACAGTCGAGAGCTGTGCCAGTAATCCTGCTGCTGGCAGACAGGTGTGAAAAGAACAGAAAGCAGACATCACTGTCTGCTGATTTAATTTTTGCTCTCAGAGCAGCCAGGATTGGATCTGGAAAGCTCCTAATGGCAAGCCTGTCCCTGGAACAAGAGCAGACGCTGTGAGCTTTACAAAGGAGGCTGACAGGCTGAGGCTGACAGGAACCAACCAGTCAGGGCAGAATCCACTGGATTTGGCTTCCTTTTCTTTCCTTCCGCAGGAGTTGCGGGTAGAACTCGGAAGAGCTCCACTGCTGGCCCTGAGAAGCCTGAAGCGATAATCAGAGTAGGACACAACTGGGCATCCCTTCAAGGGAAGCTGAGCTGTGCATCGCAATGGCCAAAAAGTGTGTGTCCTTTTTATTTATTCATGCAACAAACATTTATTATTCATTCACTCCACAAACATTTAGTAAGCACTTATTGTTTGCCTATTGTTCCTCCCCTGGGGACACAGGAAGAATTGGTCAAACGCCCACAGAACTTCACAGAACTTTTGTCCTGTTACCCTTCAGCAGGGGCTTGTGCCTGCCCCTGAGTTTATGGAGCAGAAGAAGACTTTATAGCCACTGTGTCTCCTTGAGCATTGTGTAGAATTTGAACCCAGGCCCAAGGTGGCTCCAGAGATGGCCCTGGAAGACCCCAGTGAAGAGGTGCGGTCCTGCGAGCATCTTCTCAGGCAATCTTGGCTGTCCCAGGTGGGATTTTCTGATGTCCTGTGTTTAGCCGGGGAAAGGCAGACCATGCACCTGTAAGGACTGTCCATGACTTCAGACCCTCTCAGGGGCATGGGAGGAAAAGCATGGGATCATTTCCCAGAGAGTTTGGTGGTGAGGATGAGCTAACAAGAGTAGCAACCTTTCTATGTGGATGTGAGCTGTTGAGTCTGCAGCCCAAGTCCAAGTTCTTTGCAGAGGCTCACCTGGCCCACCATGCTCCAGCTACACAGCTCTCCCACCTCCACCTTCCACTCAGCCAATGCATGCAGTCCCACCCAACATCCTTCACAGCCATGGTGCTGCTTCTCTTTCCTCACAGAGGAGCTCCTAAAGCCGTTCGTGTAGTTTGGCTGAGGCTAGGCTAGACCAGATGAAAAGACGGTGCTTTTCACAGCAAAAGGATTCAGACCGGGCGCTTGAATGCTGAAGGATCAGACCTTCCATTCCTTTCCTCGTTGGTTATCTCAGTTTACTATCCTGTTTTCCTTCATGACGTGCCTTTATTGAAAGCTCACTCCATCAGGCACTGTGTTTATGTGAATTGTCTTATTTAATCTTCAAATAGTCTTGTGAAGAAGCATCAGGCAATCACATTTTACAGAAGAGGGGAATGAAGCCTGGCAAGGAAGGAAGTTTGCCCAGCATCCCTAGCTGATTTGACCCCTCATGGTCAGTGCTACTGCTCTTAGCCAAAGGCTTGGCTTCCCCACGTCCAAGGGTGGGATCTACCTAGTCCTATAGCTCAGAGGTCCCATCAGAGTCATTGGGGAATCACTAGCCTCTCTGGTCCACCATGTTATATGCCCCCAGAGGGGACCATGGAGATGAAAGAGGAGGTGAGGCTATAGAAGCCCATAGAATCTTGCTCTAGTGCTCACCTTCTGTGTGATCTTGAGCAACTTATTAACCTTCTTAAGCCTCAGTTCCTTATCTGTGAAATACAGGTAAAATGAGAGCCTTCGTTAGAGAGCTGTTGGTGAATTACATGAGGTAACTCACAGTAGGCATTTATGAGAATGTCTGACACAAAATAAACACTCAGTAACTATTGTCTATTACAGGCCCACAGTCCATTACCTATAATGCTGAAGTCACAAAAAGCTCTGAAAATTGTGCAGTTGGAAGTAAAACCTGTCCTGAAGTGTTGTACAACTATATCTAGGTTTTATTTATCCCACTTACTATAAATATGCATATGCTTCACTGAGGAAATACTAATAAGGTGCCACTCTGGACCCTCCTAGGGTTATTACATGACATACTGTATGTGTACCCTGTGACCTTTCTGAAATCTGAAGAACACTGAATGCCAAAACACACCTGATTCCAAGAGTGAATGCCCAATAAGAGACTGTGAACCTGTATCACTTTTGAGAGTAGAGCCAGTAAGTCCCCTGATGGAGTTACAGTAGCAGTGACTGTCAACTCTGGAATTGCGAGAGCCAAAACCCTGGAAGGAATAGAATTAACTCCCTTCTCTCCTATAAGAAACTGCAGGCTGCTGCTTAAGGGCAGAAAGAATGAGAGGTAATGGAGTCAGCTGGAAAAATATATCTCCTTGTTCACTTGCTCATGTGATCACTGAGGGATTTCTGTAGGGGGTCTGGACCTGGGTGAAAAAATCTTTAAGGACCATCTCAATTTCAAGATCTCAGGAAAGGTGGTGATCCTCTTACTTCCTGCTTGATTGGCATGTTGCTAGGCTGGGCCGGGAAAAGGGAGCAGAGCAGTTGTCCTCCCTCAAGGAATATGGACTTTCATTAAAGATACAAGATATGCATGCTTAGAAGATTAGATCAGATTGATTAGAATATATTAGAAGATTATGAAATTAATGTTTGAGTGAGTAACCGAGCTGGTATGCACCATAGGAGTTCAGAAAAGGGAAACCAAATGTCAGGGAGCTAGTCTAAGGCCAGCTAATTCTTAGAGAGAAGAACCCAAGGAATGGATAAGGAAGGAGAAGAGAGAGGAAATTGAAGATGGAGTGGAGGGAGAAATAGGGACTTTGTGGTCTAAACTCCACATATACTATGAGGTATGGGCAATTTGGATAACCCTTCTGAGCCTCAGTTTTCCCATTTCAAACATGGAGACAGTTATAGCTCTCTCTAGCTATGATCATTGTAAATATTTTTTAAAATGTAAAGTGTTACCACAACATTCATTCTTTTTTGGTAGCCGTAGACCCTGCAATTTGACTCTCAGAAACAGTTTTTGTTGATTCCATGATGCCTGTTGACCTTGAACTGGGCAGTTTACAGCCAAGCTCAAAGGTGTATGTTTGACAAAGGCATAGAAATCAGGAGGAAAAACAATTAATTATTCAACTAGCCAGAACCCCAAACAAATAACCCTCTTCACCCACGGCAACACTTGACAACTCTTTCCATTCAGCAGCTTTCATTATTCTAATTAAGCTGACCCTCCATCCAGCTGCAGAGAGAGGAAGCCAGCCTGCCCGTGGGACCTTTACCCCCAAGTCAGAGATGTTTGTTCTTAGGAGATGTCATTTTATCTTCTTCTTAGGACCTCTTGGCCTGCTATAGCACACAGAACCACCCCATGGATGACTTCCTGATGGATGATGATTGTTCTGATATCTTGGCTCCGATGGCATTGTGCAGCCTCAACAGGTCACGCAGATACTAAAACCATATAAATCCTACATGTCAATGACGGGAGAGGTGAAGGGGAAATTGTAAAACAAAAGGGAGCAGAGGTTATCACTGGTAGAAACACAGAGTAAGAGAAGGCTGCATGCTATTTAATGCAAAGGAAAAGTGGAAGAAATAGTCACTGGAACAGAGTTAACACCAGAGCCCACTCTCTAAGCAGAGTGCTCAGGAAAGTCATCTGAATTCTGATGGGAAACATCCTTACCTCAATATAAAACACCTAATAGAACTGAGACAAATAAGGTTCTTGACAAATAGAAGTTACTAGTAGTAGGAGCAGGGGTTTGGTAACATTGTTATCATCATTGTCATCCCCCATCACAGAGGACAAGCGTTCATGAACATCACCTCTTCTCTGAAGGCTGGGGTCAGGAAGAGCCTATCTGCTCCAGTGACAGTGAGAGAGGAGCCTGGCCACAGCAGAGGCCAAGCCTGGCAGTTTCCATGTAGAAGTTGAAAGAATTTGAACATCAAACTGAGCCTTCATCTATAGTCACTGGGGTGACATTGGGCATTGTTGAGAGAACAAACATCGTGATTAAAAATGACACAAAGGGAGCCCTGTAGTGATAGGCGATTGTGAGTGTTTAAATGAGGAAGGGAAGGGGTCAAGAAGACTAATCCAGAAAAAAAATGAAGGGCTACATCCTGATGACAACTTTGTTTTGTTTTGTTCAAATTGCTTTTATTACTTATCAATGTCAGTTTCTTATGAAATTTGAGATGACATTCACAATTCAGTAGCCTTTAATACATTCATAATGTTGTTTCACCACCACCTCTATCTAGTTCAAAACATTGTCATCAGTCAGCAAAACCTCTACTCACTAAGCAGTCCCCTCCCCACCATCCAATCTCCCTCCAGCCCCCGAGACACCACCAATTTGTCCTCTGTCTGTATGGACTTATCTATTCTGGATATTGCATACAAAAGGAATCATATGACATGTGACCTTTTGTATCTGGCTTCTTTCACTTAGCATGATGTTTTTGTGGTCCATCCACATTGTAGCAGGCATCTGTACTTCATTACTTTTTATGGCTGAATAATATTCCGTTGTGTGGATGTACCACGTTTTGTTTATCTGTTGATGGATATTTGAACTGTTTTCACATTTTGGCTATTGCCCATAGTCAGTAGGAACAAGTCTGTACATCATGGAGGAATTTCTTATGGTTCTCTGAGTGGGATGGTTATTTTTGCTATGGTTACACCCTGCAAAAGCAATTACCCTCCTAAGCAGATAGATGTTTCTTCCAGGGGAAAGAATTCCTGGAGGCTGCCAGGATCCAGCTGAAGGTCCTGATGACTTCTTAAAGATGACTTTAAGTGGCTTTAAATGTCTTCATGCATCCTTTACTTGGATGCCAGGGCCAACCAAACTTTCTGACATAACACTTAAAAAGTTAGAGTCTCAATTTTTCTTCCTGGTGACCCATAGACATCCATAGGCAAGAGGATAAAGATTGGATCACATTCCTCCTTGAAAGTAGCTCCAATTCAGCTCAAGTGACCTGTGAGAGGCAGTGTGGTCTGGTGGCGAACATCCGTGGCTGGAGTCAGAAGACAGACAGATGTTTAAGAGATGGCTCTGCCACTCCCAGGCTGTGTAGCAGCTGAGTAGCTCTGAACCCCAGCTTCCTCATTTTTCAAGAGGTGCTGTGATTGCTGCTTGCCTTTCTCATTGAGTTGTTAAAAGGCTGAAGGAGTTGTCATATGTGGGTGTGAATCTTAAACAGTCAAGGATCACACATTTGTGCTATGACTATTACTCCCCTGTTAGAAGACATGCAGGGTGACACTTGTGACTCACCATCAGTAGACTTTGCATTAGTCACAGTGCATTACTTGCAAGTATTTAAAAAATGGAGACCCATCAGAAGGCTACTGTGTCGCCCATAGAATTGAAGGAGAAATGAATAATCAGGCCCCAAAGGGCAGGAACCAGACAAGGTCTGGGCCTTCGGAGAGCAGGGGCTGACCGTTGGGGTGAATGAGGGGTGGCCATTTTTCTGTCTTTGTTTTGCTGCAATCAATGTTCAAAATCCCAGGAAAGGGTCTGATTGATGAACCGCTTGACTAGGGGAGGGCAAAAGTCCTTGACTGACAATTCCACCAGGCTGCACCATAGGGAAAGAGGTGATTCTCCAATTAAAAATCAGGGAGCTATTAACAGGAGAAAGGGGGAAAAGATTCTGGGGGGCCCCCAAACTGTCCACCAAAAATATACTCTTTGAGCTGCTCATGCGGAAGCAAGCACAGACTGGGACTCCCGAGCCAATGGCTCTGGGGCTACCCTAGAGCTGAGTGCAACTTGGAATAACCAGGGATTTGGGGTACAGTTTGGAGACTGCTACCTGCGTGTCTGTGCAAGGTGCTTCCCTTAAACACTATGCACAATGTGTGCAGTCCAAGAGCTCAGGCTTGAGAAATCTGAACCAAACTGCATCTGGCTGCTAAAAATATCCAGGCTCCAGGGAGGCAGCAGAGAGAGCTTTTCCAAAGCCAGCTGAGGCCTTCAATGTATGTAGGAAATTATTAATCATGCCCTGTGATTCTTCTTGGTATGAGCTGGCTTTATGCTTTAAAAATAAATAAATATGAACTGAGGCCCATCCAACCCCTCCTTTCTTTAACTATCCATCTCGGAAATAGTTGGTAACCCCTGCTGCCCATTCCCCCTGGGTGTAGGCTGCCCTGCTCCCTGGAAAACAGGAATTTCTTATCAGATCAACAGGAAATTCTATTTTTACTTGATGTTAGAATTAAAAATATCAGAGGGAGAGAGATTCTCTTGTATCCAAGCCTTGCACTAAATTTATCACCCAACTGAGGAGTTCTCCTTCCAAATGTTTGCTCCCAGGGTTCTCTCCCTCCGAGACTGGCCCCAGATGGCAGGAGAGACAAAGAGCTTTGACATCCCAACTTGGTTTTTTTTTTCTAACCCCAGGTCACAGTGTTGCTGTGGAGATCACTTACGGTACTTGTAGAATGCTCCATGGCAAGTCATAGTTGAGCCTAGATGGTGGCTCCAGAGGCATTCACTAAGAAACAGAGACAGCTCAGGTTAGCAGCACTATAACACTCACTAAAGGCCCTGGCTAATAATGGTGCTTAAGTTGAGTGACTTCATTTCAAAAGCAAGCAAGAGGAGTGAAGCAAAGTTTACTGAGGCCCGACTGTGTGCGAAGTACTTACTAGCATGGGCCAGGCCATTCAATCTTTCCAGCAGCCCCCAAATAGAAGTAACAGTAGCAGCTGCTGCATCTTTCCAGTTTACAGAGGAGAAAGCACAGGCTGAGGAAGGTATCTGGGATTAGAATTAGAACTGGGTCAACTTGATTCCAGAGCTAATGCTCTTTTCTCTTTACCATCAGAATTTTTTTTTTCAACATCTTGAGGCAGATCAGGAGCAAAGCTAATGAATTCAGCAGCCACTAATGTAGGCACTACCAGCTGAATGACTGGCAGCCTCCAGGAATCCTTTCTCCTGTAAGACGCATCTATCCAGAAGGGCAGCTGCTTTCAGAGGGCTGTAACCATAGCACGAATAACTACCCTATTTAGAGAGCTATAAGAAATTCCTCAATGCCCGGTTTGCTTAACTTGCAAGTTGTATGACTCTTTCTTGTAACCCTGCTAATATACCCTTAGCTTCTTTTCTGAGATGTGCCTAAACCACTGAAATAGGAGAGTTATCTGACCTCCCTTGCAGGATGTGTGACAGGGGTGTGGCTCATCTGTTACCACCTCTGCTCAAACTCCTTATGGGAAGGGGAGCACACAGATGGACAGGTGCAGGAGCCAGGGTGCTAGGCTCCGGCCCCATGGCAGTGTCCAGGGATGGGAGCCTGTGACTCCCAGAGCCCAAGTGGGCATGTGTTACAGTGTGCTCTTTCAGCCTTCCCATCTGTGGATGGCTTAAGTGTTGACCAGTTCACTGGACCCTCTGTTTTTTCGCAAGGGCAGAGGGCCAGTGTGACAGCTTTCCATATCCCAAGCTCTTGTCCAGCATCCCAGAATAATCAGGTTACACATGGACTTGAGGGATAGTGAATGCAGGGGCTTTATTGGGTGGTGGAGGTGGATGTCAGCAGGATGGATGGGGAGCTGAAAAGGGGATGGAGTTGAAAGAAATCAGGCACATTCCTCAGCCCCGGGCTCAACACAAACAGGCCCAGTACAAACACATCCCACCATATATCTCTCAACACAAACAGGCCCAGTACAAACACATCCCACCATATATCTCTCAACTTCCTGAGCCCAGTACAAACACATCCCACCTGGAAAGTCCCCGATAAGGACACAGCTGTTTGTGGTTTTACTGAAAGCACGGGAACCAATAGAAAAACTGCTAAATGTATAACTTAAAATGTAAACCAATTGTAATGCTGTAACCAAAAGAATTCCCTTGTTCCTCTGTAACTTTACATATCCTATTTACATCGGGCTATAAAAAGCAAGCACTCGCATTGTTCGAGGCCCTCTTGTATGCTGTGGAATGGAGGGACCAAGTTCGAACTTGTAGTAAAAGATCCTTGCCGCTTGGCTTTGACTCTGGACTCTGGTGGTCTTCTTCGGGGAACAAACGGTCTGGGTACAACAGAGTGGGAAGATGATCTTCCCCTGGAGTTTGGCCATCCAGCAGCTGATTCTCCGACCATCCTTAGCAGAACTCCTCCTGACGTTCCTTCTCTTCTGTCCTTCTCCACTGCTCTTCTGCTGTTCTGTTCATCTGCTTGTCAGCTCATCTGCTTCTGGAGCCTGGGATCTGGGGTTTATATGGGTACAGGATAGGGGGCTTGGCAGGCCAAAAGGCAACTTTTTGGGTGCAAAAACAGGAATGCCTCTTTCCATTTAGGGCCATGGATATCCAGGCTTGAGGTTGGGGACTTTGACGCTCTTCTACCCAGTATTTCCCTGTCTCCTGTCCATATCACCAGCACCTTATTTACTTACTGAGTGTTTTGTATTGTTTGTTTTGTTTTAATGGTGCAACTAAAAGAGTATTGCAGGATATCTGGGCTTTAACCCTGGTTCTGAAGCTGAGACTTTATGAAATTAACTTCTCATCTCAGGGCCTCAGTTTTCTCATCTGTACTAATAACAAGCTGAGTTCTCATATGGCAAAAAGTGGGGCTAGAGATCTCTCTGGGTTCCCTTTTATAAGGACATTAATCTCATTCATGAGGACTCTGCCCTCATGACCTAATTACCTCCCAAAGGCCCTGCCTCCAAATACTATCATACTGGGAATTAGAATTTCAACATAAGATTTTTTTGGAGACACATTTAGTGCATAACAGCACCTGTTATAAATGTCACAGATCCCTGACTTCTCTGCCACCAATAAAAGGAAGAGGGTGCCCACCTTCTGAGATTCTTCCTGCTGTGGGGTTGATCATCCCTTTAAGGAAGCCAGGTATTTGGCTAATAGCTGAGAGGCAGCTTCAACTTTTGGCACCATGTCCAGGAGTGAGAGACAGCCTGTCACATTTTAAAACTTTGATGTATTTCTTAACTTCTGAAGAATTGGTCTATTCATGCAGAAACAGTATAAAGAAAGGAGATCAAAAGACAAAAAAGGAATTGGAACATGTCATAGACAGAAACCCAGTGACTCAGGTCGAAAGGCTGACAGCTCTCAGAATATTCAAGAATTAGGGCCAGATAAAAACCAAAAAGCAAACATACTCTCAAACAAGCTGACACTTCTCATTGTAGGGGTACTGTATTGCCAAAGGCAAGGTACTTGTGGAGCCAGTTAAGGACTCTGAATACTAATTGCATGGATAATAGCTAAAGACAGGGCCTGAATAGATGAGTCAAGTATGAACTCAGATGCCTAAGGGCAACAGAAGGAGGAACTTTGGAGGTATGAAAGTTGGTTCAAGCGTGGGTCAGTGTACTCAATCTGGCCTTTACCTCCCCTGTAGAAGGCAGTATTAGTTATTCCCATGAGAAAGATGGGATATTGAAACCTCCTTTGCAAGAATTATAACAGAAAATTACGGCAGTAGGGGAGATCTGATCTAGCCAATCCTCTTCTTGCCTTTAGCCTTCCAGCTGCCAAGCTAGCTTTGGGAGACATTTAGGTTGTAGTTTAAAAGATAATAGCCCTTCCACAAACCTCAACTGCCTTAGTAAAGCTAATGAGAGACCACTAGGCTAAGAGGAAGAGAGGAGCCTGAATTTTGCTAAGGTATAGACATAAACAATTGCCAGCCATTATTTAACAGGTTACAAGATATGCCACTTTACAAATTACTCCTACAGATGACATCTCTATTGTGGAACCTAAGATTGGCCTTTCAAGATATGTTTTCAGGTGTTTTGCATGTCTCACATCCATTGCTCCACCTGGACCCACTGATCAATGGCTCCTGAGGCACCATGTAGAAGTGAATCAGCACACAAAAGGACCATTTTCCACACCCCTATGATTGCACCCCAACCGATCAGCAGCAAACACCATTCCCTAACCACCCCCAGCCCTTCCCCCAAACTGTCTTTGAAAAACCTCTAACCTAGGAGCCTTCGATGAGATTGATTTGAATAATAACTCCATCTCCTGCATAACATGGCTGGCCTTGCAACAATTAAGCTCTTTCTCTACTGCAATGCCATGGTCTATTTTGTGTAGCAGGAAGGAAGAACCAACCCATCAGGTGGTTACAGTATGCCTATGAGACTGCTAGTTGATCATCAACACACCATAAGTGCCTGGTCAGTGCAAGGCACCATAATGAGTACTGGGGGGAAGATCATGTGCAGAAATGGGTACATAGCAAGACAGCCTAGAAGAGATTTTTGTCCCACATTCTCATTTTATAGAAGTGAGGAAACTGAGACCTGAGAGCAGGAGTGACTTACTCAGGATCACATAGCTAAGCAGTGGTGGGCAGGGCCAGGATCCAGGGCTCTTGTGGTTAGGTTCTTGTCTCAACAATCCTACAAAATGGTGAAACCGCCTTTGCAAAATTATAACTAAGGAAATCATGACAGTGAAAGAAATCAGAGCTAACTGACTCTATCTTGCTTCTAATCCTTAAGCTGTCCTTGTTCATTCCTGGATGTAGGCTGAACAAACTTTGGGAAGGAATTCAGTTATTGGTTTGACTCTGAAATAGAATTGGTAACAGCCCTTTCCCAAAAAGACCCCCTTCTTGTCTGGGGTCCACTCTGCCTTTGCTGGACTAACAAATTAGCTACAAGATTAGAAATTACAATTTAGGAGTCATGCAGCCTCTGGCTCCAAGAGTCTGAACCTCTCTAAGTTGCTTCTGGGGGTAACATCACTTTACCCCCATTGTAAAACCTAAGATCAGTGCTTGAGATATTCTGCAGACCCTGCACTTGATGGATCAGCTGACACCACCCAGACCAGTAACCTGGCTCAACCAGCTCTGTGATCCCACTCAGAAATCAGCAAGAAGTCACTTCGACCCCTTGTGATTTTATCTTAAGCCCGACCAATCAGCACTCCCTACTTTCCAAGATCATACCAACAAAATTATCCTTAAAAACTCTGATCCCCAAATGCTCGGGGAGACTGATTTGAGTAATAATAAAAATCCAGTCTCCTGCATAGCTGGCTCTCCGTGCATTACTCTTTCATCATTGTAATTCCCCTGTCTTGATAAACCAGCTCTATCTAGGCAACAGGCAAGGTGAACCCATTGGGCAGTTACAATGGTATCATAAAAGAGGTGTGGGCCTGAATGTTAGGAGAACCTGATTCTAGAATTGGGTCAGCTACTTACTTACTTGGGGACTTCATTTCACCTCCTTTAAGACTCAGTTTTCCCATCTGTATAACAGGGGATGGGACTAGATGGTCTCTTTGGTCTCATGTTTCAATAGTCAGGATAAGCTAGATTTTGCTGTGATAACAAAGAACCCCCAAATCTCAGTGGCTTAAGAGGCAAAGCCTTTTTTTAAATTTTTATTTTTGTAAATTATGTATTTTATGATGATTAGAAGGACTGTCTTCAAATCAGTACAAATATTTCACAAATAATATCTGGCCATTTTCTAACCA